CCTGCGCTGGGTTTCCCCATCCCACCCACCCACATTTTACATTGATAGACAATGACTTTGCTGTGGCTACGATGGTCGCCATTCTTTATGGAGCTGGGTAGGAATTTGCCCACCTGGATAATTGACTCTTACCCGGTGGTTTTGCCTACCTCATAGCAATTCGTCACAACTGGTTGAGCATTGGGGCAATCCCTTGTTTTGGACGGAGGGGAGGTTGTAGTCCCCCCTGCCCCTCCAAACGCTGGGGTATCCCATTTAAGGGATTCAGGATGAGTGGCCATGTCCATGTGCCCAGGGGGGCCAAGGCCGAAGGCACTCCCCCAGACTGCAGTCCCTGTAGGGGGTCACCCTATTTGATGTAAGTCTTAGGAACCCCTGCCTAGATTGACCACGCGTCAGTTCCAGTGGGTGGGCCAGAAGTATTTATGTTGCCCCATGCCCAAGCCAAACCTCTTTCATCTGTATTCAATAAAGTTGTGGCCTGTTTTTACCCCAAACCCAGTCTTACTGGCCTCTTATTTATATGGGTTGGGGTATGGGAAGTCCAATGCCTTGTCCTGCAAGTTTATTTCATTTCATTGACTACACTATTAAGTTTGCCAAAGGCAATAGACTGATTTAGGAGACAAGAAGCCTCATTCCAATTCTAACACTTCAGCAAAACTAAATGGATTAAGGAAGGCATTTTTAGTTTGTTTGTTTGTTTATTTTAATGTATTCAATTTGCCTATGGCAATTGTTTTCTAAACATCATAACATAAGATTATTATTTTTTAAATGATGCTCTTTAATTTGTAATGGCAAGGTAATATTTTACCACGAGCAATAACTGCTAGCGGGTGAGCATTAAATGGTTCTTTGACATTATCGAACTACTGTGTTTATCTACCATCTGGCCCTTTAATCTCTGTCACACTGGTCAAGTCTTAAGATAAATTATTTGAGCTGCAATTCACACCCTTGTACTGATGGGTATAGTCCACTGGAACTTATCTAACCCCAAAATGGAAAGAAAACTATGTCTTTGTATCAGTGTTATTCTTTACTGTGGCAATGTCTTCTGTTTTAAAATGAATGCTTTAAAAAACCCCAACACTTTCCACTTATGGTGTTGGCATCTTGATAGAAATATATGTCAAAGAAGGCACTAGAAATCATTTAATTGTGTCAGATTGGTACTGTTCTAAATGGCATCTTATAGCAAATGGGGGAAAACTTTTCTGGTCATACTTCATGAAGAGTTTCTCCATCTGTTAATCAGAGATGGAAGTTCCACTTGTCTGTTAGAAAGCATAAAATGCCCTTTTTCAATATACATAGATGTAAAATGTTTCTATATATGCTTGTCAGATGTTTTTGAGTCTTAACCATTAAGTACAAATTGCCAACAAAGTATTTATGTCTGAGCCCTTGTGTTGTTCCTTTATCTAATTAAATCAATAAGAGGAGTATTGAGCAAATTACTTCTAGCCCTCACGGTCGGTTGAATCAGAGAAAGTCAAAATAATGTGGAGGCTATTCAGGCCAATAATTGCTATGCTGAAACTCACAACCTGCTCCCTAGCCAATCAAATAGCTCTACAAAATGTGTCTATGATAATAATCATCTTTGTCCCAATGCAGTGGATCCCAATATTTATTGCAACATTATTTTAAAATGAATCTTACTCATAACATAATTATTTACACTTGCATTAATAGACTGTGTTCCCACAATAATAGTTCATAAATCTTATTCCTCTGATTTGCTGAGTACTTCTCACATTATTTTGAAACTAAAGTGTTTTTCTACATTCTGTTCCATACCTTCAAGGCTCCTTTTTGTGTGTTTTGATTAGCTTACATTTGCAACTCATGCTCTTTTCAAAACTCCATGGTGTGCATTAGATTTTCAAAACTCTGGAGATGTGTGTTAAATTTGTCTACATGGTTGATGCTGTAGCGTTCCCACTAAACAAGTGCTCAAGGTTTTCCTATACTTTTAAAAATCCTGTAGTTCTTTGAATATTTTATGTAGTTGGATTATTAGAAAATTTTTTGTTCATGTTTGTGCTGTTTTAAGGTGTATGTTGAATAAAAACAGCCATATATTTCTTTTTTTGGTAAAGACGGGCCAGAAGATAGATAGTCCTGGTTAACATTGGAAAAGTTAAAAATTAATCCAATCATTTCCCCCCCAAATTTGGGAAATAGTTCAGCTCCCTTCCTAGAAAGTTTAAATTTGAAATAACTACCTGCTGTGCAGAATGGGAACAAAGTAAAGAAGAAGAGCACAGCCCTTTCTCCTCCCTTAATTCTAATCACTCTCCCCCTCAAACCCTGTCCATTCTGCTGTATAAATTGGAAGGAAAGCCCCCACTGGCCCTAGTGGTAGCTTTCATTACAATGAAAACAGCAGCATGAAATGTTGGCATCTGTCTGTCTCAAAAGGCAATGGTAAGCGCCTCTGGGAGTGAAACAAACCAATGGAGAATCACAGCGCCTGCTGTCACTTCAGAGACTGGTAACTCATAATTGTTGCCTCCTGCGTTGTTTTTAGTGCATTAGCAGCACTGAAGTGGGTTCCCGGGGGTGTAAACCTCAGCCTCGCAGAGCAATACATTTGGCACCAGCTTGGCTGCAGGAGTTCCTGGAAGGAGGCATACAAGACACCATCCAGCCATTTTAGGGGCTCCACTCTGGAATTGTGTAGGGTCCCACAAGGCAGCAGGTACAGAGTGTTCCTTTCAGCAAGGAAGAAAGGATCAAACTTCACCTCATCCTCCTGAACATGTCATCCTGATCATGCTTGGGAATTCCTTGTGGCAGTTATTTCCATTAAAAACACATGTTGGGCAGTCCAACTTTTCATATCAACTGAGCCACAACAGTACTTCAACATGGAATCCCTCAGCAACATTTGACACTCCTACCCCAGCCCTTACACTGCCTTCCCAAAGTCAGGTAAGTATGGTGCATGGCTTTAGAAAGGAAGTGTGAGGCTCTGGCAGGGTCCTAGAACCCACATACCGCCTTCCCAAAGCTGGGGAAGCACTAGCTAGGCTTTGGGAAGGAGGTGGGAGACTCTAGGACCCTGTCAGAGACCTCACGCCTCCTTCTCAAAGCCCAGCACCTCATTTATGTGGCTTTGGGAAGGCAGTGTGAGGGCCGGCCTTTGTGAGAGTGTCAAATGTTGCTGAGGGCCACCCAAAGAGGCCTTGAGCCATGTGTTAAATGTAACTGTTGAGTTAGTTAGTTTTCAATTCAATAAGTTACATTTATCAGCTTGTTTTCCGTTTCCTTTAAAATTTGATAGCCGTGGGACTTGATAGCTGTTTCTAAGTAAACTGCTGAAGAGGAAGATAAAAAGGATGATGCTGTAATAATTTGGTTTATTTGCTCAGCATTTCTATTTTAAGCAGTTACATAAGTTGTTTTTTTTTTTTAAAGGAACAACTTGGTTGTATCTAATGCTGTCTGTCTCCTTTCACAAAGGCCTTTCCACTAATGTCAGTCAATATAGTGCAACAGAGAAATCAAGTGCAACTGGTCCACTGGCAGAATTGTTGTGCAAGAGATTGTGCTAGATGAAGTGTTGCAAAACTACCATTTGTTTTTCTGTGCTCTACAAATTGTCCATACACATCCAGGTTGATGGCTTGTGGAAGCTATTGAAAAAGTAGATTGGTTTGTATGTGATGACTTGCCAGCAGAACAAATTCAGTATTAACTCTCTTTAACTTTGTGCTACATTGTATGCAGCCCATTGTAAATTAGGGATGGATAACCTGTGGCTCTCCAGATGTTGTTAGACTCAACTCCCATCAGTCCCAGTTAGCATAGCAAATTATCAGAGTTGTGATGGGAATTGGTTCAACAACATATTTAGGGTCACAGGTTCATCACTGTTGCAATAAACTAGCAATGTTCAAATGATTATTGGGTGGCCAGTCTCCTTGCTTTCATTCACACATCTTTGTCACTTTCTGGGTTAAGTGTATTTATTTAAAACTTTCTCTTTGTATAAGGTAATTTCACGAAAGGATGTAACTCAGTGGGGCCTACTTTTGGTAAATATGTCTAAGGTTGCATTGTTGAAAAAGTAAAATGTGTTGTAGCTAAGTTTTCTTTAAAAAACGGATTCAAATAACTTGGCTACCAAATCATGACATATTTAAGCACTGCATGGTGTAACCACGTGGAATCGTCACACTTCACTATCAACATATGGAAGAGATTGTAAGGACTTGAAAAAGATAATGTTTTATCAGAGGTACCCCTATGTACAAAGGCCTTTTCATATAATTATTTACAGATGACTTTAGATTACTATATTCTACCTTTTAATAATATTGGAACAACAAGGCTCAGCTAGCATTCAGCTTTAGCTAGTTAAATACACAATTGCAGTTGCAATTGCACAGTCGACTATAGCAGTGATTGTCACTACAACTATCTGTATCTAAAAGAGTTACTTTTGGTAAAGGTTTTCTAATATTAAGTGGATGAGCTACTGATAAAGCCCATGAGGGACTCTTGATATGATGGTTCTGTTAAATTTTGTATTTGCTGCTATGAGTATTAAAAAATTATCTTAAAAAGTGGATTATGAAATCTTTGAAATAAAATACCCCATTATCTTCTCCTACATAAAATTAATAATAAGCTTTTTTTTAATGAAAAAAGGGAGCATCTGTTGTTGACATTCCCATAATTGTTCTTGAAAATTGTTCTTGTTCTGATTCATATTTTCTCAATTTGCTTGCTGTAGTACTGAATTTCCAGAGACTGTGAACATGTAGTGTGCCTGTGTTTTTATTCCTTTTGGCTTTCCCCCTTTTTGTTAAATGCTGTCAATATGGCAAACCTGTCTATTAAATTTACTCAAGGTAACAGTGAAAGTGTTCCCACTTTGGGGTATGTTGCTTAAACTTTCCACATATTTCAAAGTCAAAGAGTCAAAGAATGCAGAGTTGGAAGGGACCACGAGGGTTCTAGTCCAGACCCCTGCAATGCAGGAATCTTTTGCCCAGTGTAGGACTCGAACCCATGACCTTGAGATTAAGAGTCTCATTTTCTACCAATAGAGCTTATCCCATACTGAAATGTGATCAAATACTCTATATTCCAATTTGCTTGCATGAAACCAGCATTCAGAATGTGTGGGTTAAATAACACTTATATGCATAACTGTGAGAGTAGCAGTAACTAACAGCAATGATTGGATCCAGATCCCACTTCCACAGGCAGGAATTATGCTCAGAGGATGCTCCCACTGGTGGAAGATGACACTGTCCCCCAGGACAATGTGAGAACTGGTGCTGCAGTTTGCATGAATGGGAAATCAGAAAAGGTAACCTACCTGCCTTTCCACCAGCCGGATCCCCCAGTGAACCTAAACTTTCCCATGAAGTGAAGGACCCTCTCTGTCCATTGAAGGTGAAGTCTGTATCCAATGCAATCTTTTCAGGGGAACAACCAGGGCATGCTGGGGAGTGCTCTTCAGCCCTGGTGGAACCTTCAAGGTGGGGTTCCTCAGCATGGGATTTTATTTCCCATGCTGTTTAACATCTACATGAAACTGTTTGCTGGTGTTATCCAGAGTTTTGGAGTCTGTTGTCAGTGTTATGCTGATGGCACACCGCTCTACTTCTCCTTTACATCTGTAGGTGAGGCAGTGAATGTGCTGGACTGGTGTCTTGCCTCAGTAATGGGACTTGGTGAGAGCCAACAAACTGAAGCTCCATCCAGATAAGCCACTGTTAGCGGATGGTTCCCTAGACTGCATGGATGGGAGGTTGCCTGCTTTTGGTGGGGTTACACTCCATCTGAAGGAGCAGGTACACAGCTTGAGGGTACTTCTGGATTCAGTGCTGTTAACTTGGGACTCAAGTGGCATCTGTGGTGAGGAGTGCCTTACAATATATACTTATAAGAAACTTCCTTGGCTTCAGTTAGTCAGGTATATTGCCCTCTCGGCAACTGCTACAATCTCTGCAACTCATTGTTGTGTCTACCAAGAACTACAATATGAATGAGCCAATTACCTGGTTTATAGAATTGGATGGAAGAGCTGTTATGATTGTATATCATTTATCTAATTTATTCATGGATCTTTTTAAAACTGCAAATCTTGTACTGACAGTAACTGCTTGCTGCTTTTGTATTAGTTCAGTGTCAGTGTATCAAACGTAATCCTTTATTTTGTGGCTTACAGTTATTGTTAACTTTGAATACTTATAGCAACTTCTTTATATATAGCAACTTTTTCATTGCACTAGCTGTTCAATTAGGCAAATGGTTAAGGTTTCTTAGTCTTAGATCATCATTATACAATTTCAAAGCTAAGCCACAAACTCCTCTTTGACTGTCATCCATATGCCAAGTTGTCTACTGAGAACATGCAGCGTTTTTGATGGTTGCTCCACAGTTATGAGCCTGAATTTTAACGGTCGCCAAAGCTTGAGCAATTTTCAAAAGTCCTGCTAAAACATCTGGATTATTTGCCATTAAGTCACTATCTAGTATATTTGTATAGTAGATTATGCTTGTATTTAAAATAGTTACTTCCTCAGAGCCTTGAAGGTGAGGCAAGCTTGAAAAACAAATAAATTGGTAAAATCTCTACCAATAATACTTTTGAGAATTTGAGCACTGTTTAGTCTAACCCACTGCAGTCATTCAGAGTAATGACAGGCTAGTTTGTGCCAAGTGCTTGGCAGTAATGACTGCTGATTTCAAACTAATAATGGTGAACAACAGCAGCAAACTGGCAAAGCTTCCAGCCTCAGCAGTTGCAAACAGCTTATAGCTTTCTTTATGACAGACAGTTTAAATGTGTAATGTATATCCTGGGATGTAATGCGATTTGAAATCCTGTGCAGATGAAAGGACAAATGTTGTTGTTATATAAAGCAGCTATTTAAATACTATTGGGCACAACGCATCATTTGCTGGTAGGCGGGGAGACCTCAGGAGTGATGTCTGATTAGTTAAGAACAATAAAATTCTTATTTCCTCTGGCAAGAGCTGCAGGTAGGGAATTTTTGAATTGCTCATTCAGAAATAAAACATTTCTTCTTGGAATTGGACCAGATTGTTAAATACCATTGTTAGTACACTTTGTCATTCTACTTTTTATTTTAAAAATGCATAGAGGAAAACCAAGCAATACCTATTATCTTCTAGAAAATGACTGATTTTCAAGTATGTTAATGAACCACACAGCCTGATAGGCGTAGGCTCCTACATAGTCACAGTAGTTTTGGACTCACCGGTATAAACTTTGCAATAGTCTCTGGCAATGTATATGCACGTGAAGAAATATTTCCCATGGCAGGATTTCCCCCCCAGTGGTGACCTGTAGATCTTACTTTCTTTCCTTCAAAAGAGGATTTTCACGGTATGTTGGATAGCTGTGGATAATGGATTCAATATCTGTACATTTAATTTGGGTGAAAGTGCTGGGCAGTCAGGGTACTGCCTAGCAGCTACTTTTATTTAAATTATCTGTAAAATAGTAAAACCTCATTTATCAAACTCTGGAAATATTTTCATATATTTTCATATAAAGTCCCCGATTCTTGCTTTCTTTTATTTCTGCTGAAATGGCCAGAGACCACCTTAGGAAGTCTTTGGGGTGCCTGTGGACACTTGGAGTGTGGTGTTGCTTAAGGGTATTTTTGTTGGGGTGAATATTTAATTTCAGATATGTTAATTTTGCTGTTATTGCTATTGGTTTTTTTGTATATTTATTTTTAGATCTCATTATGACATATGTGGGGGGTGGTTTAATTTTGCCCTGTTCGTTCTGGTATGTTTTTGTTTCTTGCTGAGGTCTGCTCTTGTTATATTTTTGCAACTACACAAATCATTTCCTGCTGTACGTAGCCTTGAGCGGGGTTTTAACTTTGGAGAGATTTCACGAGAGGAGCAAAAGACTCCTTCCTGGCTTTTGGAGAAGTCCAGCCAAGGAAAGTGGCACTTGGGACTGAGTTTGGGCAGGCACCTGACCAGAGGGACTTGCAAGGAGAAGCAACAAGGTGCCCTCCTGAGGACATTCTGTACAGGCAGATCCAGCCCTGTGGTGCTCTTGCTGATCTCCCCAAATGGGCACCATAATGTCCTCCCATGCCCTTTGAAGCTGCCCTTAAATCTGGGAGGAGCATCTCATGCCTTTTCAATATGAACAAAAAGGGGGCAAAGCGTTCACCCCACCTGGCAGCATCCAAATCTCCATCCCTGCCTCTTTTCTGCACATGAATTTGCCTTCCGTTGCTCTGCTTTTGGCTTCCTGGGCTTTGGGAAGGAGATACACAAGGCCTCTGACAGGTTCCTGCAGCCCTCCTGCCTCCTTCCTCAAGCTGGGCAGGCTTAAGTGTTTCAAGGCCCTGGTTGTAGTTTTCACAGCTGGGAAGACTTCAGGAATGCTTATCTTGCAAAAATAAGTTACTAAACGTAAACAAAACTATAATTATCTTATTCTACATTAGAGTTGAATGAAGGAATAGTCATTCCAAACTTCAATTCCAAGAGGATAATACCACTTCAGAATTATAGGCAGATGAGTAGAAGACACTGAATGGATATAAACAACTCTAAATTGTGACAATCAAACATTAAGCAGATTTATGTATAATTTACATTGCATAGGCATGGAATGTTTCTAGGGTTGGGGTAGTATAATAATAATAATAATAATAATAATAATAATGGCAGTAGTAGTAGTAGTTGCATCTAAATAGATCATGCTGCAGGTTCTGGCTGAAGCTTGTGTAATTGTGGAGAGAAGCCAGGATATGTTCAGTGGAGAGGCAGAACCAGCTGTTAGGACTACAGGGTAATCTTGGCAGCTGAATGAAACAGTCTGCTTAATTGCAATGCAGCTCATTCTATAGAAGTTGCCATTGTTTTTGTTGACTTTGTCTGCTGCTCTTTGCATGCAGTTCTTTCTTTTGAAATAGAAACATTTAATAGAAGCTTCAATATAAAATATCTTTTCCTGGCAGGTTTTAAACTGAGGAGCTGGTCTGGTGGGAGGAGAGATTAAACAACAGAAAGAATTAAAGGTGAAGACAAACATTCGAAAGCTGCTGTAGCCAGCATGGTGCCCTCCAGATTTTGTTAGACATGAAATCCCATCATCCCCAGTCAGCATGGCCAGTGGGCCAGGATGATGGCGGTTGTGGTCCTGCAACATCTGGAGAGCACCACATTGGCCATCCCAGTAGGGAAAGTGGTTGGAGTACACTTGCATTTGTTTCAGTGGCAGAGTTTGTCCCACTTGTACCATATTTTAGATCTGTCTTCACCTTTCCTCAACAATCAAACTTGGAAGTACCCAAGTTTTGGGAGTTTGAAACATATGTTGGCTACAAGCTGTATTTGTACAAACACTTGGATTTCATATAGTCTGTGCTAGTCTTAGTGTGTGTTGAGCTTGGGTTTTTTAAAAAACATTTTCCAGGAAGACAGAAGCTTGTGTCTTCACCACCAAGACCTTTGAATGCAGGATTAGATGGCACTATGTTTTGAAAATACAAATTAAATCAGAGGAACATAGAATTGTGACAGAGAGATAGTTCTGAACTCAGCAAGTGGTGTACTAAAAGTTTAATACGTTGGGTTGAAACCCATTCCCATAGCTACATAGCCACTGGTTGAAGCAGCTAGAAATAAGCTGCTTCATCTTTGTAGTTCTGCTGCCAGGAGGTGAAAACTTCCTTGTTCCAAGAGGCTTTTGGGAATTGACTGCTTTTAAATATCAGTATTTAATTGTATTTTAATGACTGATCTTCCCATCAGGGGAAAAGGAGGGGTATAAATAAATATCGCAATTATAATTACTCCATGATTTCTGTGCAGCAGATTGTGTCTTTTGCAGCAAAGAAGATGCCCCACAAGGGCCTCCTTTCTTGTCAGGACAGGATACTTCTGCTACCTGTTTCTCTAGTTTCTTCCCAAGGTAAGGGGTAGTAGGTGGTAGCAGTCAGCATCAGACCAAGGTCAAATGGAACTTGACCAATTCAGGTTGGAACAGACTTACTCAAGCAGGGGGAGTTCGGTTCCCACCTGGACTATTTAGAAATCTACACAGACTAGCTGTTTG